CACAGTATATGATTTGGTTTTTAGTCTATATTCAGGTCACCACTCGTGACATGTAAATCTATTATTTGTTCTTTTCACCGACAGGCTGTATCCAATACTTTTAGACGCTGTTCCGAACAAGCAAGGTTTTTGTAATGGCTCCACTTTCAAACCCCAATCCAATATCAGCCAGATGTCTTCATTTTTTTTATACAGCTCACCCAATTGCTCTAATAATCGCTGGTACTGTAATTACTTTCTTTTTTAGACCTCCCCAATCTCTCAAAACTCATACTCTAAACCATTGTACTTATCGATTTATTTTTCTTTGTCAAATGGACAGGAGACTTCTCTCAGGTAGTGATTAATTTTTGTTTGTTCAGCAGGAGGAAATCTGGTTTATTGTGATCTAAAATTGCTACTATCTCTATTGGAATACCCTGAAGAATTTTATTATTATTATGGTTTCCTTTTATATCTATTGTATACACATTTCATTCCGAATCCCAACCAGAGACCTAAGGTCAGAAATGACTTCATGACATTTTTCAATGATCTTTTTTGTAAAACAATTTAAAAAAAAACATCACACACATTTTACATAGATAAAGCTATTCGTAATGTATGAGCTTACTTGTGAGTACTATTTTTTGTATTTATTAAAGGAATCCCTTTAACGAGACTATCAGGACCTTTTTCAATCAACCCGAGGGGTCCAACTACAACTGGAAAAATGATGTACTCATGTGCCACATTTTTAGATTTTCATTTCAAAATCCTTGTATTTCGATAATTTTTGAAGATCTTCAAAGTTACCTTACATTCTGCATGAACTGCCATGTATGTGTTTATTATAAAGTCCTATAAAATTGTTACAGGTCCTATCTCTGTAAGCATTTCCTTCCCATAAATGTTTTATATTGAAAGATACTCCTTGAGAGATTTCTCGTAGGATATTCAAACAATTGAAAGTGGCAGTACCTTTGATGTGATTTAGATATAATGTGGTTTTCCATAGATCAATGCCATATTTAAGGAAATTTCCTATCGCTGAGGAGATTTTGTACATTTTCAAAGCCTTAAGGATCCAAGAGTGTAGCAGACTATCAAAAACCTTTACAGTAATCTATCCAAGATGGGCTGAGATTTCTACCATTTTTATTTAATAGCCGTTGAACTTTTCAAAAATAATAACCTCGCCGACATCCCTTCTATTCCAGGGAAATAATATTGTTTTTATCGAGAAAAGAGTAAGTACAGTTCGTCATGACAGAAGTGATCAATTTAGATGTGGTGGAAAGACATTTTATTGACTTTTTGGGTTTTCTGTTTCAATTATTTTTGGTAGTTATATAATACTTTCAATGATCCATTCTGGATTTTCATTGGGGTTATTAATTATCATTGATAAATTTTGCGGATTTGATGTCAAATGATAGAGCTAAAAGTTGGGTACCTTGTCATTTCCTTGCGATTTCCATTTTTGGCATTTTGTTAGAGCTTGCCTAACCTTATTCTTGGGTATATTTTTTTCATCTCCTATAGAGGTTTAGCCTTCATTCTTTCTTTTTCTTGCTTGATCCACTCTGCATTGTGATTATATTCATTTGGGTTGCTCCAAATATTCTTTCAAAATAAGCGCTCTTTTTAAATAGATGGTGGTTTTGTAACTTCTATAACTGCTTTTCTAATTTCCCTAAAAGATTTCTTGAGGTTCTTTTGGAATATCTTATTTTATCGATAGAACCTATAACGCTTTTATATCGTCTTGTTCTCTGTTTTTTTTTATTGCAGTTTCTGTTTACGCATTTCCTTAATAGGCAGAATTGCATTTACTGCTTGAAATTTACATTTCTGCTTCATCTTCTTGATTTTCTGTGTTAAAACATTTGAATTTATTGAAATCTCATCTAGTATCAATAATTCATATCTGATTTTCTCAATTTCTCACTTTAATTTTGCTTTATGTTTGTTTTTTGTTTTTTTGTTTTATCGTATTTTTCTGGTTAGTCTTTTATTTGCTTTGACATTAACTTTTTCAGTAGCTGCCAAAGCTGTTGCATATATGACTATATTTACTCCTGTAATGTTTTTCAGTCGTCTGTTCATTAACAATGTTTGCATTGCAGTGTTATGTGTTTACACAGTATGTTTATTTTACTTTGTCATATTAATTTTTAAAAGCTGGTCTCTTTCTGACATTTGTGTGCGAGTTACTTTGCTAATTATTTGAATTATTGTTTTTTCGCTTCTGTTGTTTTAAAGTAATTTTACTGTAATGTCGTTTGATTCATCTTCATCAGTGACAGAATCTAAATCAGTGCACTTGATTTATGTCGCAGCTAGATTCTTCCGATTTATTTCCTGAGAGATCATTATTTCGTATCTCATTTATTTTATCTTGTATCTCATCCTTTGTTATATTATCTATTTCCACTCTTACCTAATTTTTTGGCTTATGTCTGATTGTATTTTATCATATATTTAGTTTTATCTTATTTATTTCTGTATTTGAGAGTCTTTTATTTAGCATGATGTCGCTGCGGACATTGGCAAGCATATTTAAGTCGATATAGGGTTTCATTTTAGTTCCTACCATGTCTCTCTATATCTGGTATTTCTCATTGGTGATGTTCTTTTGGGGACTTTCGAGTGCAGTGAAAAAGATGCCATGACTTGCTTATACTTTTCACTAATCAATTTTATTCGCTTTCTTTTTATTAATTGATTTAACATTAAGTCACTAAGTCCAATTTTGGAGTTAATCCGGTTTTGGTGACCAGGTCTCTCATTGCTGATGGAAGAGCTTATTTCAGTGACAGATTTTACGACTCTAGACTGGTTCATCTCTGAGGAACGCGGCCCTTTTTGGTCCGGATGATGATCCCGTATTTTTGATCCCGTGTGAGTTTTTGTTTATAAACATTGAGATTTGTATTTTTTTGGCGTTTTATCTTTAACCGCCAAGGTGTAATTTTGTTCAAGATACTACCTCTAGGACGACGGTCCGGCCCATGATACACGGCTATTCCCCCACCGGATATCACCCCGATATTTCTAGGCCACGGGGAGCTATCTAGGCCACGGGAGTTATTATTATTATTATTATTATTATTATTATTATTATTATTGTTATTATTACAGTGTAACCCGGATATAAGAGAGTTGTCGGTACCGGAGAAGAAGTCTCTTATATCCGGGTTTGGTCTATTTTATATACATTAACACAGGCTCTAATTTGGGACCAGAGAAAATCTCTCTTATATCCGGGTTTCTCTTATATCCGGGTCTATTATATCCGGGTTACACTGTATTATTATTATTGACATCTGCCTCCAAGTTTCAACCAAAAAATGCAGTTGACATCAGATTTACATGTCTATCCCTCCAGGAAGTACATGACTCCTTCTGTCATATTTTATCCTTACTAGAATCAAATTTGACCAAAAATTGAATATTGCTGCCATATGTGTACCGGATCCTCTCTTTCCAGTATTGATAGACTATAAAATCTTTTACGTAATCGCTACCCACTTTTATAACATACGTAATGTTGCAAGACTGTCGTTACTCCATCGCTATTTCCATGGTAAATATTCAGATGACCGACATTCTTTAATCTAGGTTTTCATACATCAGACTACTTTTATGGACTCGAATCACCATCATTTCCCTCTAGTTCTAAATGTAAGAAAGAAGTTCTACTCTGACAACTTTTTTTCTAAGAATTGTCACTTTGTGTATCAGATTCTGGTGTGGATGCTTCTCTAAATACTTTATCTTGACCTCTTCAAGTCAAATTTGAACCTTTATCTATCTGCCTCATGCACATTATCTTCACTCCCTATAACGTTCTCTTCCATTTATATTACATATCTCATTAAACATTAACATTTTGACTGTACCCTGTACCGTATTTTTGAGCTTTGTTTAAAAAATGTAATAACTGATTACGATATGCCTGGCCTAAGAGCTATAAAAACGAGGTAAAAGAAAGAATCTCAAAAAGGGTTATCATAAAATCAATTTAGTAAAATGTTAAAAACAAAATGAAATTATGTTTGTTAAAAGATTGAATAAAATCTTTAAAAGTTTAAAATTTAAAAATTTGAATGAAATCTTTAAGAAATTTTAAAAATCAAACACAGGAATTTTTCAGGAAGACGCATTGATAGTATTTTCAGGAAGACGTAAGAAGCGAAATCATTAACATTTCAGATAAGTATTCCTTGCCAGGTCATTGGGGGATTTATGTTGGCATAACTTTTGAAATAGTTCCAAAAACACTGATCATGATAGAAATTGTTTTTGTTTTGATAAGACTGCTGGGTGTGAAATAATCCTTAGAAAAATTTTTTTTTATTAAGGATAGAGGACGATAAAAGAAAATTAATTAAAGAGATAGAATATGGCAATTGACATTGCGTTTAAATTTTTGAATATCAATTTTGATCGGAAAGCAAGAAGCTAGTATAATAAGTTAAATAGTAGAGCATATTGTGCTCTTCAGTCTTAGTTGACAATCAGCCTAGTAGAAGGAAATCTCGGAATTCAAAAACCGCATGTAGTGCTGACGAAGCACGTGCTTATACGCAGTTGAGGAAAGGAGTTGACAATAACTCTATAATCTCGGGTGCGCCCGGTCTAATAGAAAAATAACATTATTATTATTATTATTATTATTATTATTATTATTATCTCATTGTAATCATATTTTCTCATACATCGATCCTATTTGGTGGTTTATAACAGGTGTCAAGTGACACCATGCTTCTTTAAAATACATCTACTCTACTTCGACTTTATTTAGATATCTATTGGATGAGCAAAATCCAACATGTTTCAAGTCTTCTTTTTATTTTTATTATATCAGTTCTTCTTGTTTGGATTGAGTCATCCCTTAGAAATTCTAAAATTACAGAGGATTTTATGCGTTTTATTCTTTAAGACAAATTTAGTTTCATTATATTCAATTGGTTCGTACGGCCAAAACTTAATCACTTTTCCTTAGTTCCCAAAAGATTTCTCTGTCCTCAAAATCATACAAATTATTGCATTCGCTTATTATGTGATTCTATCTTTTATCTACCTGATTCCCACCTTTCTCTCACTCTTCTCCCTCTCTTTCTCTCGCTCACCCCTCTCTCTCTCTCTCTCTCTCTCTCTCTCTCTCTCTCTATCTATCTATCTATCTATCTATGTCTTTCCACACATGCTACGTCAAGCATTTACTGGGAAAAAAATAATCTCCTTAATCCTCTATACTCTTGATTCTGGTCAGTGTTTCCTTTATCATTATTTATAATCTAGCTGATTTTGGTGATGATGTCTTCTGAGGGATTTCAGTTGATCAGTTCTTCCACTCTTTTTTCATAGCTCTTCGGACCGTTCCAAGATGATTACTGATACGAGTACTTGATATATATATATATATATATATATATATATATATATATATATATATATATATATATATATATATATGCGTGTGTGTGTAAATTGTTATATCATAATCTGTTACGAAAAAAGAACTAAACAAAATGAACACAAAACGATCAGCTTTAAAAAAGGACTCGTAACTGGAAAAACCGAACGAAAAAGAATGTTAACAAAAATACTTTTTCACACCTAATCCAGTTCTGCGGAATCAGAATCAACGTTGAGTTTAAGCAAGCGAATGAGCCAATTGGAGTAAAGTGCCATGCAGATTTAAATTTTTCCCACTTGTGATGAATGCAGCTATCGATTTTTTTATTTTTTATTTTTTTTTGCATGCTAGCATGCTAGTTAACATTCGTGTCAGTCAGTTGTTGGTTCTCATGCTGGTCAATAGAATCTTCCTGCCTATTCGTGGCAGCCAGCTATAGGCTCTAACTCTGGCCAGTACAAAATGGCCGTAAACTACATGAAAACTGCCGTAGAAGCATGAAAAAATCGATTATTTCCGCTATCGATGGGAGTTGGGAAATGCAATGTCGGTCTTGGCCTTCCCGCTAACTTGGAGCATGTGCATGTAAATTTTGGTGCAAATCCGTCGAAAATTGCGGCCGTGCATTCGTTACACACACACACACACACACATCCTGCGTTTTATAGATAGAGATAATATACATACTCGTTAAGATTTTGCACCAGCAGTGATAGTCAGCTTTAATGAATCATCTAAGTATTCCAGTACTCTCCTAACTGATTTCTAAATGTTTTTGTCTTTTGTGGGGATTTCCTGGTTTATCATTATTATCAAGTGAGAGTACAACAATATGACGATGGGGTACAAATATACGAAGCCCAATATACCAATCGTGAAAACTAGTCTGATTTAAAGAGTTTTTCTAATTACATTTACAATAGTAATTAACTTAATTAACACAAACTTTTGTATTTCACATAAAGATAGATTTCTTGGGATTTTCATATGTATCAGAATTTTTCATAATTATTCCTCACACTTTTTATTGAAAATTGGTTGTGTTTAAGTACCACATACTTCCAATTTCTAACTTCAGATCCTTATATTTGAATAGTTTATCAAATTCTTTCGTATTTTTATTGGGTAGTATGGTTATGTCTATAAGATAGCATTTAAATTCTTTGGTGTTTTTATTACTATTTCTTATCTATTAGCTCGTGTTGTGCAGTTAGGGTATGTACTGATGACCCAGAACAAAATAACACAATCACAAGAACTGTTGGTAGCTTTTGCTCATTAAAATCATCAGCAGCAGTAGATTTCTGTACAGTATATTCCCTTACAGAAAGGTAGATTAAGGCAAGGTATATGTTTTCTTTTTGCATATGTTAAGTGATACTTAACATGTACATTATTTATATTTTATTTACATGGATAATATTCTCCCGAGTAGATGAGCGGGTTTCACAAAAAATACAATGTATTGCATCTCTTGTAAAAACAGGTATCCAGGGATTTGTTTTTTTCTTTCACCCACGGATCCAATTATTATACATTTTATAGCAGTTTTATAATTCCACATTTTTTCAATTTCACTTTAAAGGTCGTTACATTTATTTATTTTGTCATATACTTTACAGATATATGTTTATCTGATGTCATTGTCATTTTTATTAGAATGCATTTTCTATAGTTTTTATCACTACTTTGTGGTCTATTATTTTTATATTTTTGTCAGTATGAATGCTAAAGTCTCAAAGAATATTGACCAAGTGGTCTTCTGTGACTGGTTCAAAGTAATGTTCATGCCATTTTTCAGCAGGTGGCGCATTGTAATATTGCCTTATCTTCCAATATATATACTTCCCAATATTATCACGTCAATCTTTATATTCTTTTGATGTCAAGATTGGACTGCTAGACACTAAGTGACCAATTTATTATTATTATTATTATTATTATTATTATTATTATTATTATTTTCTTTGATTTCTGGCGTTTATTATTTCTTTCCGGGTCCCGCCCAGGGACCTTTTAGAAATGGCGTTGACACTTTCCACTGACAGAAAAAAAATTAAATTACATAGATAAAGCCCTTCGTAAGGTGTGGGCTGTACTTGTCAGAAGAATTTTTTGTATCTCCTTGAGGCATGGACTTCCAGGAATCCCTTCAATTAGTCTACTGCAATATTATTATTATTATTATTATTATTATTATTTCTGCTATGGACACACTACCTACCAAGTCTGCGGAAAGACCTAAGGCAGGTCGTGGTGTGTTGTTTGCCACATTTCATGTTATTTTTTTTTTTTTTTTTTTATCTCCGATGAAGTTGCTAGCGTTACATAGACAAAGTTCTCCTTAGTGTGTGTGCTGTACTTAATAAGACAATTTTCTGTATGTCTCTTAAGCTGGGGTTTCCAGGGATTCTTTCAATGTGTTGTTTTGTTCCATTTTTTATAATTCCAAGTGCACCTATTACCACTGGTATTATTCTTGTTTTCAATTTCCACATTTTTTTCTATTTCAATTTCCAGGTCTTTGTATTTTGATAGTTTTTCAAATTCCTTGGTTTATGTTACAATCCGCTGGACAAGCCATATCAATTAGTAGGCAAGTTTTTTTCTTTCTGGTTTTGACAATAATGTCCGGCCTATTTGCTTCAATTTTTCTGTCTGTGTGGATGGTATAATCCATAGAATGGTGACATCTTCTATTTCTGTAACCGGCGCTGGCCGATGTTCATACCAGTGTTTGCTTACATTTTCCAAAGTGTTTGCACATTGTCCAGTGTAAGTATTGCCCCACTCTATCGTGACGATTTTTATATTCATTTGGGGCAAGTATAAAAACATCCTGAGATTAGATGGTCTATTGTTTCTTGGTATTTGTCACAGAACCTGCATTTTGGATCCCATTATTATGTATGATATTTGCCTGAAAATTCCTAGTGAAAAGACTCTGGTCTTGCGCTGCAAGAATAAAGCCTTCAGTTTCAGACTTTAATCCAGATGCTCGTAACCATCGATGAGTATTAACTTTATCAACATTGGGTTTATTTGCACGTTCTGGATATTGGCCATGCAGAGGTTTGTCTTGCCAGCGTTGTTTCATCTGTTCAAGGGCTTTATCCTTGGCTTTTTTTTCATATCTTTTTGCTGCAATAGTTGGCAAAAGATTATTATTATTATTATTATTATTATTATTATTATTATTATTATTATTTTTGCTATTTAATTTTTTTCGTGGTGTGTTTTTATTTTCATTTTAATTTTTTTTTTTTTTTTTTTTATCTCCGATGAAGTTGCTAGCGTTACATAGACAAAGTTCTCCTAGTGTGTGTGCTGTACTTAATAAGACAATTTTCTGTATGTCTCTTAAGCTGGGGTTTCCAGGATTCTTTCAATGTGTTGTTTTGTTCCATTTTTATAATTCCAAGTGCACCTATTACCACTGGTATTATTCTTGTTTTCAATTTCCACATTTTTCTATTTCAATTTCCAGGTCTTTGTATTTTGATAGTTTTTCAAATTCCTTGGTTGCTATGTTACAATCCGCTGGACAAGCCATATCAATTAGTAGGCAAGTTTTTTCTTTCTGGTTTTTGACAATAATGTCCGGCCTATTTGCTTCAATTTTTCTGTCTGTGGATGGTATAATCCCATAGAATGGTGACATCTTCTATTTCTGTAACCGGCGCTGGCCGATGTTCATTTTAGTGTTTGCTTACACATTTTCCAAAGTGTTTGCACATTGTCCAGTGTAAGTATTGCCCCACTCTATCGTGACGATTTTTATATTCATTTGGGGCAAGTATAGAACATCCTGAGATTAGATGGTCTATTGTTTCTTGGTATTTGTCACAGAACCTGCATTTTGGATCCACATTATTATGTATGATATTTGCCTGAAAATTCCTAGTGAAAAGACTCTGGTCTTGCGCTGCAAGAATAAAGCCTTCAGTTTCAGACTTTAATCCAGATGCTCGTAACCATCGATGAGTATTAACTTTATCAACATTGGGTTTATTTGCACGTTCTGGATATTGGCCATGCAGAGGTTTGTCTTGCCAGCGTTGTTTCATCTGTTCAAGGGCTTTATCCTTGGCTTTCTTTTTTCATATCTTTTGCTGCAATAGTTGGTTCTTGGCTTCTGTTTTGATTTACTACAGAATCTACTAAATGTAAATGTTGTTTGTATTTACTGCCTTCTTTTATTATTGAATATTTTTTCTTTCTGTTTTCATGTTGTTTCACTAATTTTATCATCCAGTCATTTGTTGTTTCCATGTAAGTTAGTAAGCCAATAGTTGTTGTCTTGTATGACAATTCTAGCTGAATAAGACCTCTTCCACCTTCTTTACGGGGTATGTATAGACGGTCTACATCAGCCTTTGGATGATGCATCTTATACTTAGAAAGAAGCTTTCTTGTTTTAGAATCCATTTGTCTGATGTCATTTAGAGTCCAGTTCAAGATGTTGAAACTATATTGGACCACTGGGATGGCTAGGTTATTAATGGCCATAATTCTGTTCTGAGAATTCAATTCAGTTTTTAATACCAGTCGTACCCTTCTATAGTACTCTTTACGCACTATTTCTTTCATTTTCTTATGGTGAATTCCTTCACTCTCATTTACACCTAGGTACTTATAAGCTTCTCCTTGTTCTAAATCTTTTATTGTTACAGCAGGGTCTAAAGTAATAGAGGAAGTTTGTTGTAGCGATCCTCGTAAAACTGTAGCTTTAGCACATTTATCCAAATTGAATTTCATTCCGATGTCTTCACTGAAGCATTTTACAGTTTGCAGAAGACCTTCCAGCTCATTGTCATTCCTAGCATACAATTTTAAGTCATCC